CTGCGTCAGAAAATAGATTCAAATTAGTTTACATCTGCATTCATAAATCATGAAATAACTTCCATAAGGTATCAATTCTGCTGTCTTAGCAGTGTGCTTCTGCACTGCAAGTTTATCATTAAAGGACCATGCTACTTTCCATGGTAAGTTCCTGTTTTGATTCCATATCATATGATTCAGGATCTTCTGAGACAAATGACCATCAGTTAATTTGCTCTTAAGCAAAATGCTGAATCTACAAAATCATGTGAGAGGTAATTGAAATTAATAAAACCAAGAGTTTATACCAATTACCTCTTCTTTGCATCAGTATCACCAATCCCATACCTACCATTCCAGGTACTACTAGTACCACCTGGGGCTGCAGCGCAAACTAATTAAGGGTGTACTGACTTAAATCAAGCCAAAGAGGGTCTAATTAAGTGAACAATAAGAAAAGGGAAAGGCCAGCCTAAAAATCAGAAGGAAAAAACCACCACCCTCCAACAGGCAGAGTGGCAATGCATTGCTTGCCACCATCCTACCAAACAATCAAGTATATGAAAGTCAACTCTCACTGTACAGTTTGCTTGCTTTGCTTTTTTTCCACAAGGTTTTGGTGCACGAATGGCACTCAAAGATGTTAATAGAAACATTTCCTTAAATGTTTTAACTCCATACATGCAGCTTATTTATAATCAAAGAGTTTAGGATCTGATGCAGATCTTGCTCTGGAAAGACTTCCCTGAATCAATACTTCTTAGATAAGGCCCGAGAATGGTTAAGAACTACTTTAGTTTTTCTGCAGAATGGATTCCACAGACACTGCTCATCTCAGAACTGTAACTTTCAGACAGGCACAATATTCACAGTTACCATAACAGTAACCATAAGGCACACTCTCCAATACACAGAAAAATAATCTAATCAATAATTAGGTCCCACATTTACTTGTAGTCTAATAAAATCTGTATTTGATCTACTATTACTCTTCAAAAGCTTCAGTTTACCCAAGGACTTACTTTGTAACTCTTTTTTTCAATTATATACCTTTAATAACATTTAGATGTGTGCAAAGACCAGTCTGTTAGATCTTAAATCAGTAAACTACAAAAGCTCATAGGAAAATAAACAACTTTGACTTTCATCAATATAATATCCACAAGTCCATACAAATTACTGATGTCCTATATACAATTAAATATTAATGATCAAAGAACAAAACCTAGATTGTATCCACTATAAAATAATGCTAAAATTTAAAATGAACATGCTAGTTTTTCTCAATCCTTGCTGTTTCTTCTATAGAAGTTCTTTACTTGGCTCCACAAATGTTCAAAAACAACTCAAAAGACATTTTGTTCTCCATATTGCTTTCCCAATCATTTAAGGCAGAAGTTGGGTCTTGGCAAAACAAATCTAAATCTTTTCAGAAAACCTGCAGTCTTCCAAGGACTGCAGATTCTATTGTTTAGAAAAGGGGACTTAATATTATATTGCAAAAATAGATGTTCTTCAGCAACATGAATATGTGACTCACAAATGTTATTTAATATTCTGGAATAAGAGAGGTGGTAGAATTCAGTAAATGCAAAGATGCCGAGTGTATTATACAAAAATCTCTACTGTCAGAGTCATTCTGTTTAACATGCAAAGACAGTCACTGCAAAACAAAATAAATGCAAGAACTAGCAGGTTTATGTCAAAAGGGAAGAAGAGGAAACCATAAAAATTATCATACTAATCTATCTATGGATTTCCTGCCATATTCTTAAACTAATGCTGATACTTCATGAAATTTAAGTAAATTATCCTAAGAATTAGCAGCTTGATCTCAAAGAATTCCAAATGCAAATAATGTCCTTTTCAACAACATCCGTCACAGTAACATCATTGAATAAATGCAAATGGAAATTGGAAATGGAGAAGAATGTTCTATACTAGACTAGGCTTAGGACAGAACATGGTGAAGTTCAGATTTTAATTCTCTGTCACTGTTCTTCTACCTAGATACTGTTTCTGCTGGAATGGTTAACCAGTGTTTCCCTCTTTTCAAGTTTGCAGCAGACCACTCAAGAATCAGCATGGAGAAAAACCTCATTTAATATTCTCAGGTGTTGCTTCCAAATTTCCTTGCTTTGTTGCTTCTTGGCAGCCTTTCAAAAAAGTACCTTTTGTGTTCTCCTGAGCCAGTTCCACTACTACCCAAACATGCAGCAGGAGAGTCTGCATGTGGGGAGATTTTAATGCAGCCAGAACAACAACTACTGCACACAGAAAGGAAGTGGAACCAAACCAGGAGCCTGCCCACAGCCCAAAATTACCAAGAGAGCAAAAGGATCACATCCATCCTTCTATGACACCACTTGGGACAGGAAGACTTTACTTTGCAGAGAGGACAACAAAGGATTTGTGGTTAGAACTCCTCTGCCTGAACATTGCTGACAGCCCAGGGCACCCTTGGCTCTCAAGCAAAGCCTGGGGCTCAGGGAGTCCCAGCTGTGCTTCCCGTGGGCAGCACTGAGAGGTTCAAGTCTCTAAGCCCTCTGGCTGTAGGAGACTCTTACCAAAGGTGTGCACGGCAAGCTGAGCTTTAAGGAAGAGAAAGGAAAATGCTTAAAAGGCACCAGTGTTAAGGTGATATTTACATTTCAGAGTAAAGTCACTGACAGTTGAGAAATGTAAGCTTTGGAAGTGTTTGAGTAGCTGCTGCTTAAGCAAACTCATTTCTGTTTCTTTTAAGGATGATTTCAGACAACATATGCAATTACATGATCACACAGTATTATTTCTACAAGACCTTTTGCTCATCCAGTGACTACAAAAGCTGCATGAACAAGCTATACATTTTGTACACAGATTTTAATTTCTTCATTAACTAGAAAGAGACCCAAAAGTCAGTAATTTATTCAGGATTAAAATTATTAACATTTTCAAATATATCAGTCTTCAAGATACGTTTTCTATTTTCTGATGTTTCTGCTTCTGAACTGACCAATTAACAAAGAAGATGCCAAGCTGTTAGAAACTTCCTGGTGAGAAGAAAAACTGAATTAGGTGTAACTTTATGGTGCTGAAAGTTAAATGCATTTGGATATTAGTACAAAGTGGTTACCAAGAGACAGAGAATTTCTATAAATTATTATATTTTAATTTATTTGTTTTCTGATAACATTGAAGCTCCTTACGTGAGAGTTTTTGGTGGCAGCACTCTTTACGTACTCATTTCCACAAGTAAAAAATTGCTGTGGATGCCTGATTGCTTCCGTTGCATTATATCTGCTTTGTTTGCAAAGGGGCTTTTAATAATTCACTATTGCTCACAAACAACCCTGTGCAAAGCAGAAAATGGACACATTTTTGAAAACGGATGAGTGAGTATTCAATAACCTAACCAAGATCACAATACTGGCAGGTTTTGAATAGTATGGCCGTGCCTTATCTTTCTGTTTAATTCATCAAGTCTCTAAATACACTACTTAAAAAGGTGTCTGTGCACCTGGGCAAGGGTAAATATTAAGTAGCACTGTCAATTCGTACCTTATCTACACATACTGCAAATACAAAAACAATTTATGCTTTCAAAATGTTAAATAATAGATTCTCTGATTTAAAAAAACAAAAAACTCTACTTGTAGCACTCTGTGGGATTAAACACATTTTGCAACTTCTGCCTCTATGCTAGTATCTGAAATTCAATTATAGAAGGCAATGTGTTGTTTTGACAGAGGAAACTGAAGACTCAAAATTACAATCTTTTTTTTTTTTATGTTTCAAACTTTCCCTCACAGTTGAACCCTTCCTAGATATACACAAAACATTTCTGTGGTGAAGTAACCCCCTTAACAACAATACCACAAGTGTTTGCTTTCCCACTCCAAAAATCTATACATGCAGAAAGAAAATGAAGCTTAGCTATGTAGTATCAGACATAATTACCAGCTGTTGTATTAGTACGGAATCCATCTCCCAAGAGGAGTGGGAACATCACTCCAAAATTATTTCCTGAAACGGCCAATTTGTAATTTCCATTCTTTAGAAAATCTGGATATGGCAGTAGTTGGGATGCATTAGCAGGGTATTTGCTTACAAAAGGCAGTTTGATCTAAATCAGTTGACTGGCAACTCCCAAGCACAGCACTGATTCAACAATTCACTGTTTGCCAACAACATCCCTTGAAACCACTTCCAGCTACACTACAAAGACATCCAACTGCACATCAAACCTCTCTGCAAGGCAGCAGCAGGATTTTACCTCCAAAATACTGCAGGCAGTTAACTGGGGCTTTTACATCTTAAATACCTTCACTATTATAAAGCTAAGTAGCAGTTAATACTTTTTTTCCTGAAATAGAATTTGTATTCCAAAATTTGTTTCACAATTATTAGCTTTATAAAAATTATTATTTCAAGTGCTTAGAATGAAACAGCCTCTGTATTAAACCTGACCATAAAAGAAAATTGAATGTAATTAATGTTTGTAATGGTTTCTGTCTTTGTTCCTCTCCCTTCATTTTTCATCTAGCTCAACAAGCATCTATTAGCCTTTGAACATTCATATCACCAAATTATCAAGCACTAAAACTCAAGAAATATGCAAAATGTACAAAATTCCAAACAGAATATGTGAAAAGTAGTTTGCATGCGCCTCTTAAGTATGGTAAATGCTGATGGCAAATTTTAAATGCTACCACAAATTGTATACCTCTTACAACTAGTAACTGTTTAAAACATTCATTTCATATATTCCAAATGATGGAAATGTAAACTGCAGTCATAATCCTAAATGCTCCAGGTTGAAAATCAAGGATAATGTGAATTTACTGTATCTCCCAAGTATATAATTTATTAAAATCAACCAGAAATTTAGTAGTAATGTTTATACCCAGTATCTGAAAGTTACCGTCTCTGAAGTCTGGGAAAATATTTGGTTTTTCCCACCCACTCCTCCTAATTAGAAAGAACACTACTGAATAATTTCAGCACTGCTATAGCTTTGTATGACAGAACTCTGGTTTTACCTTTCCAAGCATTCTCCCAAGGAAGTAATAATGTCGGGCGAACGAGTCTCCAACGAGCATCTGTGCAGCAGGGTTAGGGTAAAGCAGACCCTCATTGGTGGTCTTAAAAAAACCCTGATTAGGGTTAAATCCTGATTTGAGGAGTTCATTCAGAAATTCTCTGAAAATTCCACCACCATCAATACCAGCTTCATCAAGACCGTGTGCATTAAGCAAGTGAACACGAATGCGCTTTTTTAGGTCAGGTTCTGCAGGGAAAGGAGACAAACTCAAATGCAATTGTCTGCTTCAGTTTTGTATGGATAAAAACACATGTAACTACACACACAAACTATATATCCTAGAATAAAATCTGACCTAGTAAACAATAGCAAAACTCTTATTACTGGCTTAAATTTTGGAATATTCAGTTTGTGAAACACTAATTTTGTAGTCAAAATGTCTTAAGAGTCATCAAAAAAAGAAGTGGATAATATCGTAAGTAGGGGAAGAAAAAAAATCCTACAAAATATTAAGAGACCTAGGAATAACTTGAAAATTGTATTTATACAAAATATTATGAGTTCAAGATCATACAGATTCACACGAATATGTAATTTAATTCAATGTAGTAAAATTTATAGTACTACATCCCATTATTAAAAGGAGCCCTGCACTATTATCAGACACACTGAATCAAGCAAATCCTGTTCAGTCCATAAGTATTCCTTGGCCAAGATTACTAAAGTAGATAATATCTAATGAATTATGCTGAAAAATATACAAATTACAATTATTCGGACAACCAAATGGGAAGAAAATCACCAAAAAAATAGGTAAGAGATATTTAGACTGCAATAATCACAAATAATATGGGTAAGAATTGCTTCTGTTAAAACAAGGACATTTAACTTTTAAGAATTTTCACATCTCAGAGCTGACAGACCTACAGCATACCAGTCAAATAAACAAATACGGAACAACATGGTAAGAACAATAAAGTGTTGTAACAAGCTGATAACTTAACTGCTAACCTACCATTCTCATGAGAAAGTTTATCATAAGCATCTTCATAAATATAATTTCTTCTGATAGTGACATTAATTCCATCCAAAAATGGGCCATCTCCTTGAACTTCTTGCTTATCAGCATAGATCAGTCTTTGAAAAATCTGTTTAAGTGAGTGAAAAGAGCAATCATGTCATTGTGCAGATCTAAACATTCAGTGAGAGATGGTTCTTCACTACTGTTACTGTCCTTTGAGCTGCCTCTGGCACTCACTTTCAAGTTGTCTTCTCCCTCACTGAGCTGCAGAAACTTAATACTGAGCCATGACCCATGGAAGGGGAGGAGGGGACAGAAATGCAAAGAACTTTTCTGTGCTAAGATAACATCCTCAGTTCTTTCTACAATAAAGAAGCACATCTACAGACATTGTGCCAGTGTTTCCAGTTTCCTCTCCCTAACTTCAGAGTTCTGAAATGTAAAGTATTCAAGAACAAATGAAAAATGCCCCATGAGTATTTCACACACACAGAGCTTATTTTCAACACTGGTAAATAATTTTTTGTTGCTGTTTCCAATGGTCAGGATCATTCTCAGTAATAAAAAAATAGGTATCACTTCCCCTTGTATAAGCAGTGAATAAATAATTCTGATTAAAATAATGGATATTACTGCCATAAAAAAAGAACCAGAGAAAAAGAACCAGAATCATAAAAATTCAAAACAATTATGCTAGGTGAAGTACAAATTGAACTTCACACAAGTCTTCAGAACCTGTTCCCCTGAAGAGTAACTGTAGCTCACTGTGTTTCTATGCCAAGATGTAGCATGGGAGGGGGTTGCCTAATGTTTAATAATATTCCCTCTATCCAGGGATATATACAGTATGTTTACTGTATTCTCTCTTGCCATCATTCCCATACTCAATAAATAGTCTAGCACATTTTCCAAGGGATATAATCTCCCAGTAATAAATCAGATCATTTTTAATGAAGAAGATTAAGTATGAGTCTGCAGGAATTTTTAAAAACAAGTTTACCATGAAAGAGGAAATCTGACCACAACAAACAGAGTAAGGTCTCAAATCTACTGTTTTTATGTGCAACTGTTGCTAGTGAAGAAGATGCTTTCCAACCAGGAAGATTACAGTACAGACAAAGGAGGAATCTTTCCTAAGGTACACAGCAGGAAAACAAGAGAAAATAGTCCTAAGCTGCAGAAGAGAAACAAAGGATGGACACAAAGAAAAAAGTTCATCATGGGAGTGATTAGGAATTGGAAAAGGTTACCTAAGAGTTTGTGAAATCTCCATTTCTGGAGATAGTCAAAACTCATGTGGACAAGTCCTTTTGCATGCTGACCTAAGTCTGAAGTTATTCTTGAGTGAGGAAAGATGTGGACTAGAGTACCTCCAGAGGTCCCTTCTGGCCTAAATTTTTCTACAGTTTTATACCATCAAGACCTGTAGTCACAGGCACTTTTTTATGTAAAGAGCAAGGGAATATGCTCACCACCACTCTCCTTCCTGAAGCAGGCCTAGAAACAGTTTATTAATTATTGTTACCAAACTCCAGATGGAATAAATCACCTAGTATTACATCTCAGAGCAAAATTCGTTTTGGTACTGACTCTGACTCCCTACATAACCCAATGTTCATAGATATGTTAGTCCTGAAAATGTGAACTCTAATGCACAACTGAAGCATTTGCAATGACTTCAGACAAATAGATAAAAACAAGCAAGGCTGACCAAAGTATGGCCTAAGGAGGTGAGAAGCGAGATACTGCTACAAATTGGATTCATTACCTCCCACAGACTGAAAGGTGCACCCCAATGTGCCTTAAGGCTGAAGGGGAAAACATTCTCTGGGGCCAGAAAGCTGAAGAACTTACCATGGAACTGGACTCTGCAATTGCTTGTTAAAGTATCTGTTATCTGGTAAGTCAAGGTAAAAATGGCATGAGGGAGTCAGAAAATGAAAAGGCATATGAACAACCCCCACACACAAGGAGCATTGAGTTTACCATAATAAATTACAGAGCAATAGACAGCAACTGACCAAAAGGAAAAACAACCCTTATTATGGTCATGGTATCCCTTATTGCAACTTGCTCTGTAGAGGCAGTGGGAGACTCCAAGGAATGCTGACTCCCACTATTATACAAAAAGGACTGTATACATTTGTTCCAAAATACAGTGTAACAGGATCGCCTTTGAACTACAGAAGTTCAGTTGTAGCTTTATCCCTATCTCCAAGCTCTCATGCCATTGTTACTTCAGTTTTTGTGATAAAAGCACACAAGGTTCTATGAATTCCAATTGCACCAAAAAAGGCTTTATGAATTCTAAAAACATAACATGTATGCATCTCAACACAGCTTTAAAAAGTCCAGAGGCTGGAAGGCAGTGACTAAGTCATGACACAGAGATCCTTGCTTGAGATCAGTTCCTATCATTTCCCTGTAAGCCTAGTGAGGAATTGCCATACAGTAATAAGATGTTTTGTTGAAACAATTGTTTCACAGAAGCCTGAGAAAAAAACCACACATTTTCTATCAAAGCTGCCTCTGTCTGTTTTGACAAAAAAAGACTGACTTTCCCTATGGAATTACTCTTCATTCCCTTGATGGTGTCCTGAAACATAACATTTCCAAGACAATTGAGGGAGCAGTTTTTAAATAATTGACATTGTTGAAAACTAAACCAGTTTAAAAAAATATATGCTTAATAGAAAATAAAACTTTAAGAATATTTATAATGCAAACTGAAATAGGCAATAGAACTAACAATTACACATATAAAATCTCAAAAGCATTCAAAAGCAAATCCAATCAAGTATAAGAATCTTGCAAGCTTTAGGCTATACACTCTATTAAAGTTCAGCTACTCAGCTATGAACGCAGGAACTTAATCTCTAGGTGTTAATTTCCCAAAACAGAGATCCATAATCTCATTTGGAGCAAACCCACCCGTGCTCCCGGGTCTCCAGCTGTGTCCCTGCACTCTGGTACAAGACACAACTGGCCGGCGCTGTGCCACCACAAGAGGGTGCAATCATGTAGAGCCGTCTCTGCCAGGACTGCAAACTGCTCTCAGCTGTCAGAATAAATGTTCCTAACCTCACTGCAAATATTATTAAGGGCAATACAAGCAGGAGAGTAAGAGAGAAGTCGGTAACTTCAAATGTTCAGTTGCTGCATGAGTACTGCAGAAAAAGAGTGCAGACTGTCATATCCTTCTGTAGGGAATCTATCCAGTTTCTACTTCACTAAGTGCCCTTTTTACAATTAAAACAAAAAACTAAAAACACCAATTTCATATTAAATTAGAAATTAGGTACCTTTACTCTTTCTTCAAAAGGAACTACAAAAGGTAGCTCTGTCAGAATTGCAAGCTGTCGTTCTTCAGATACAGAAAGAGGTGCTGGTTCCAAACCCACTTAAAATAGAAATAATAACTTTAAAATTTTTTGAAAGAACATTTTTTAAAACAATTTATTTTGTATCAAATGACTCAATCTATGCTGTACAAAATACATACATTAAAATAGTTTATTTACTACATACTCACTCAAAGCCTTACCTTTCTTTAAACATTAGTTGCTACAGGCAAACTAAAATATAAGTAGTGAAAACATACAAAACAAAATGCATATAAAAACATGTACTTCTGTACCTCTATTTTATTCAGAAAAAAATTCTTATTGACATTTTAGCTTAGGAATTAGGAAAAAGTGCATTATATAAGACAATTAGCAACTGTGATGATTTAGAATTTTCATTGCAGAAATATACAATATGCCTATTCTGATGCTCAGAATAGTTCACATTTATTGTGTTTTCAATTACATCATTAAGTTTCAATCAAGTCATTTTAGGTAAAAACCTTAAGAATTAAACCAAATCTAAGGAAACCAACAAAAAGATAACATTCATTTCCATGAGTTTTCTCTCCTAACAGCAACCACATTAAATCCCAGTGACTGAAGAAACAATGAAAACATCATCAAGAACCTGTATAATGTATTTAAGACAAAAATCTTGGAGAAGAATTCAAGAAGCCACAGCAGAGAGGCTCATTCATACAGCTCCCGAACTACTGTGCAGCTCCTTTGAATTCACAGGGTATTTTTAGGAACCAACTCAACATTTGGTAATGCACAGTAGAAATGACAATCCTACTCTAATTTTACGGGAGGAAACTCAGTTGGTGAGCACATATCTGACTGTAAATTAATTAAGTGCAGTCAGTATTGCTCACTGACAAGCCACTGTGGCCAAAGGTCCACCTGACTTCAGTCTACAGTGGTAACAACACCCACAGTTCCTTGGTTGTTTCATTTTCATGTTTAATAACCACCTCTGAAAAAAGACTCCGGAGTCTGGACACACAGAGTGCATTACCAAATAAGTAAATGCTTCATGTCACTACCCGGTCTGCAAGATTTTTATTAGTTTCAAGGTCTTTTCTTTGGCTTCTACCCATGGTGACAAGCATCTCCTGCAATTTTCTGGACCAAACACTTCAATGTTCTTTTTTTGTTTTGTTTTTTAAATCCTCAAAGCACTTTAAGTAGGGATATTTTAAGCACCAATTTAATAGGATATGACCCTAAACATCACTAATCTTGATATATATTCATTGGGAGCAGGTTTCAACATTGCCAGCCTTTGGAATTTCTAATAAAATGCTGATTTGTGATTACCTTTAGTTTACTTAGTAAACATTTTTAATTAAAGTCAATGTATGAAGCCTATTAAGCTAACAGTTAAAATCATTTTAAATGGAAAGTGCATGTACAGCAAAGGTAAACTACTACATGACTTCGACAGTTCAATTATTTCAGTCAATTAGTCAATTTTATCTGCATTTCTCCATCACAGCTTCCTTCTTTAAAGAGAAATATGGGATGGAGTCATCAATACAGAGGGCATTTAGAACTCACAAGTCTGCCATTTAAGTAAATGAAAAAGCACAAATAAACATGACCATATGTGATTCAGCAGTACTTTCATGCTAATTGGCTTTAACCCATATGGAGTCAAGAGGGATTAAACAAGTCATGTGCACAAGGTTACCTGCCTGTTTTCACACATTCATGTTGACTGCACTTTCTTTTTAGCCTTTGTTTGAAAAGGAGGTTTACATGAACACACTGTGCCATCTTTCCACACCATCTTGCCTCCAACACACTTCTTGAGTTCATCAGCTGAACTTCGACAGAGAATAGGAGATTCAAAAACACCAAGTTACTGTGAAAATTTTCAACAGGCCAGAGAGGAGAAATTCCTTTAGCCTGAATACAGGCACAGCCAGGAGAGCAGTCCTCAGTGTGCCAGCTCACCTGGAGCCAGCCTGGAAAAGGACACACAGCTGCTCACACCAGCACAGCACAGACATTCCTTATCCCCCAACTGCCCACACCAGGAGAGGCATGAAGTGGAGGGAACTTGGGGCCATTTGGGGAAGGAAGACCTGGCAGAGAGCCCAAGGTAGTATAGGTGTGAGGGCAAGGAGAGCAGGAGAATGTGGGAGGGATAAATGTGGAAGAGGTCTGGCAGTGGAGAACATCCAGACAGTATAAACAGCTGTGGAGAGTCATGTTGGTCAGTGAAAGAAACAAGGATTGCTGATGTGGAGAAGTGGTGACTTCCAAAGAAAAAAACTAAACTGGAAAAGTATATACTCAATAATTCTCAGCAGTACTTAAACTGAGCCACCTATTTATTATCTGGCAACTACACTAATAAGGTAATCAAAATAAGCTTTTACCATCATAGCTACTCAAAAATTATCACTAGAAATCTTAAGGTTTCAACCCTGGCCAAAGCTCTAAATTCTGTACAACCCTACAGAAGCTTTCAAATGCTACAATCTCTCCATGATCTAGTGGATCTGGCTAAACTAACTCAAGCAGATTGCATTATCTTGAAAGAGAGTAAGGACTTCTGTAGATGAATCGTTTCCCTGCTTAAAGGCCCCATTTTAAATTCATTATTAATTCTGCACAAGTGCCAGTGACTTAATGATTATTTTACCTGTTCACAGAGAGGTAAAATTCTAGAACAGTGAAGCTGAAAAGGTATGAAGAGCTGGAATAAACAGACTGTCTACATGAGAAAGCATATTGGAACAATCTAATGTAAATTTATCCTGAATGCTAAGTTTGTCCCACTCTCTAATCTTTCTCTGCAAGTTCCATAAAATCCTGGTATTTTGAGTAATTCAGAGGTTTACATTTCTGCCTTATCTAATTAGACACAATATTTATAAACAGGAATTAATATTTACCATGCAAAGCCTGTTTGTTACAATTTAATATGTAACAAAAATTTTATAGTATACAAAAGCAAAATCTCAATGCCTTACGTCTTCTGCAACTGTATTCATTTTCTGTTCTATGCAACTGCATTTTATACATATTATTACATATTTATACATTATTTTAAGAACACATCCTTTCCCCTCAATGCCAGTGGAAGCTTGGGTGAAGAAATTATTAAATAACATGACGTACTATAAAGATAGACACACGTGCATACAAGAACACAATATTTAAAAATATCTTAACCAAAATTACAAAAGATTGTCTTGCTTTTGATTATGAAGATTTTACTACAAAACACTCAACTGAGTTCTACAAAAGACAGATTTCTTTGCATGAGTCAATCTCTTATTTTGACTTAATACAGCTGAAATTGCATGGACATTGTCTTACCATCCAAAGTAGACTGCAGTGGTCCTATTCTCCCCATCCTCCTGACTCTCCAGACGTGTCTGGCTGATGGCACATACAGCTGTGTGACCTCACAAATTAACAGGATTTCACAGTTAAACAGGACCTAATCACACAATACAATTTACTGCTGCATACTAAACACACAGAGTTGTCACATGCAGGAGTGTCTGAACACCTCAACATCTTCATTTCTGCTGATCCCTCCTTACACTTGTGCCTTACAGGAGAAATGTATAATTAACAACAGTACAATATAAAGCCCCTGTATTTAAAAATACACACAATGTTACATTCAGTTCTGGTATTTAGGACACTAGAGAGCTGATTTTGAATTTTGTGATGTCAAATATTCTGTATGTTTTGTAATGAGCATGTGTCATGATTCAAAAGAATCTAGTCCACAGCAGGTATCTGCTTTTTCCTTTTGCACACACATACACACTTTTTGAGATCAATGTCCTTTTTTCAAAAGATCTTAGAAAAAGACAGTCCCTTCTAGGTGAGCTAAGTATAGAAAATGCTGCTGAATTTTCCTCTATTTTGGAAGATAATTTTCCTCACTATAGAGTAATTATTTAATTTACCTTATCTGCTTTAATGTTTTCTTGTTCTGAGAGCCAGTGATTTGGTGGACAGAAATTTCTCCTTGTATCCCTAGATTTCAACATTTTCACCAAGTTTGTGATGACCTAGGTGTCAGAAAAACACACGTTCAGTATACATTTAGCACTGTGAATGAAATTAAATAACAGACAAAGAAAAAGCTTGTTTTTAAAAAGCAGTAACATATAAAATTGCCACTTATTTTTAACTCACAAAAACTTGCCATTAGACTTAAATACATTAGAATGAAATTAAGTAATCATGGTTCACTTGCAAGACATCAAAACCTTATTAAAGTCTCATTCCAAAATCTAGGAACAAGGACTACAAAGGATTTAGCAGTACTGCACACCTAAAGTGCTACATGCCAGTTCAAGGAAGTCCAAACAAATCATTATCAACATTAAATTACTTATTTAAATAAAATTACACCAAATCAAGTATACACACAATGTATATCAGGTATGGATATAATGTTCTTTTTTATCTTCCTATCAAAATTGAGAGGCTGAGAAAAATTGTTATCATAGTCACTAGGGTATCTTTGCAATTTTAGTGTTTTTCCTGGCAGTTTCCTCCCATACAGAAAAAAAATAAAATTGAGTAGAGAAACCAAGTTAACAAATTCTCCACCTCAAGCAGAACTGCCATACTCAGCTGCATGCCTTCTGTCCAAAGATGAATCAAGTTCACCTCCACTACATAAAACATAATTAAGTGGAATCAATACAATAGTAAATTACTAGGCTAAAAAGACATTATCACTGCTACAATGAAGAGCCATCTGTTTGGTAACTTCAAAGTACAGCACTTGAAAAATGAGTAAGAAAAAATTGTACACTTTTCTGAAATAATCTTGCTAAAAGACACTCTTAATAGACAAGTGTCAACAGTAACAAAGTTCAATGGGCTTTCTAAAGGATTCTGTCTAGATGCTACACAAAAGAGCTTTTAACATCCCGTTTTTAAGGTAATGTCTTTATTCAAGACAGAACAAATAATGCTATTAAGTGAACTGTCTGATTACATGGGAGTTTTCATCACCTTTCCCTTATAAAATTTCCCTTATACATGAATCACTGAAGCTCTCTGATCCCATTACCACTGTAAGGGAGGCAAACATTATTAAAAACTAAAATAAAATCAGAAAAGACTATCCACATGAAGACCATGAAAATAAAATATTTTAGAAGCAGCTGAAGAAACCTTAAAGGAAGCTGAATCAGATTAGGTGAAACTGCAGCTTCTCCTGCAGAATGCATGGGTACTGAGAACACTAACCCAACTGCCACCCCAACTCAATATTCCTTTGTAAAAATTTTCATGAGTACGTGTTCTATGGAAAGGGAAGATGCACCCCAATAACAAACATTAAAATGGGGGTTTCTTTCCAATAAACTGTCCAGTGCAAGCAATATTTAAAATTAAAATCCAGCAAAATTAGAAACTTGATTTCACAGGATTAACTCAAGATAGTGAATTAATTCTTTTGTTTAACAAAATCCATTTTCAAATACTCATAACTTCAGATTTTCTATGGAATCACAACAGCTGACTATACTATTCATCATTCTACCAAGCCAAAAATGTGGGATTCTGTTGAAGGAAGATATTTGCACATATACATCTTACCAAAGACCTCCAATCTGTTAGCAAATATGCACATCACTGTCAGCAGCCTCCCTGTTTCCAGATTTACCATTACCTTGCAGAAATAAAGCCTATATTTGTATGTGTGTTTATATATATATATCATTTCATTCACTTCATATATACACATATGTATTTCACTAGACACCCAAGACATGGAAAATACACAAAAGAAGTGAGGAGTTAAAAGAAAAAAGAGAAATTAAAAGCACAGATTATAAGGAAGTATTGTGCCTTTTTTTCCACCAGCACCTTGCAAAAGCTTTAGCAAAAATAAATCCCATATATTTGATAGATATATTTGACATAGTGCAAAAGAAAGAAAAAGCATTTTCTACTTGAATTTATAATTAACTACTTTAGCTTTGTTTTAATGATTTGGAAGATGGTACTGCTGCCTGCTTACTGGCAGGAAGCAATTTTGAAGCTGCTGTCATGAAAGACTCAGTGGTACACACAGGAGTCTTCTTGATGACATTAACCTTAGCCACGTTCAATTTTTATCTGTGACAACAAATATGCTTTTGAAGAAGTAAACAAGGGAAGCTTTGCTATTATATTCTTTTTGGAGTAGAACTGAAGCCTTCCAGATACCCTCAAGACTTGTATTTCCAATTCAGCTGATGGAAGACAACCCTGGCTCCTGAACATACTAAGAGTTCTGGGACCCAGTTTTGACAATTCCACTACAAGTTTAATTTCAGACTGGCAAAGTAGGACAAAGTAACTCAGAACTTTGAGTGAATGACAGTAAAATATGATCACATTCACCTGAAATCCATCAACTTACACAAAGATTGATTAAGCATAACAAACTAAAGCAAACAAAAAGAAGGAGGCATGATATGAACTGCATGATAAAAATACCCCTGGTCTGACATCTTTTCCAGAAAAAAAAGACATATTAGGGGTTTCATTAGGACCTTTAAATCAAAAGTTTATTTGGCAATTTAAAGGCAAGTAATTAAATTACATTGTGCAAACATATATTAGATCAATCTGTGCAAATTACAGATTCAGTGGTGCATTAGGACTGTATTCAATGCAATCAAAACATTATCAGTTACTCTCACTGCTATTAATGCTTATGCTCATAAGTGAAATGTGTTGTAAAATCAGGCAGAATAGGCTGGATAGAGGCTACCTTAGACTTGTAGAATGAATAAGCATTCCTTAATTAGCCCATCAGGTTAAGTGCAAGCCTTAATGGGCCTTTCCTAAAGTCTAGCATGACATCTTTCTCCAAACATGGCCAAGAAGAAAGTTCCATTAGCAATATTAATACAAGCTTAGTTGATCATTTTCATTCAATTAACTTCTTTCAATTAAATAGATAGCTTGACAAAAGCAGTGATAAAAGACCTGAAGGGACAGCTGATGACTCGAACTGAACATTAGTGTGCGAGAGGTCGCCAGTATTAAACAGACTGTAAATCTAGCATTCAATTTGGAAAATGCATTTCTTCTGCTCCCACTTCTTTAATGAGCAATTTTAGCTGACTAGATGTGTTTGCTGCAGAATTTTCATGACAAGTCAAGCACTTCTTTTTTTCAGCAACAGTTATATCAGGGTTTTTTTTTTCATGCCATTTTCAGCTTCTAGTAACCCATGTCTTAGCTAGGATGCCACAGATAAAACCAGCAGAAAAACACTGGTAGATATCCAGTAAGAACATACATTAAATTCACATTTGCTAAGTCAGATTCACCTTCCCTTTAGTATTCCAGCAAACCCAAAATGAGGAATACCAACAGGTTTTGGGAGAATACCAAAAAAACCAATACAGCATGGTACCAGTATAGTGAAGTCTTGTAACACAGAAGTACTTGAGTAGTCATGAGCTTTTGTTAGAAATTCACACCTTAATTTAGAATTAAGCACCTTGGTTAATGGGACTCCAAGTTAAACCCCGTATTTTACACAGTAATTGTTTTATAAACAAGATAAGCAAGAAAATTAAGAGTTGACTGAAGGAAAAAAAAATGTTACTGTTATCAGAATTTAGTTACTTGAAATTTAGCATATATGCCAAACAGCAATCTTCCTAAATCCATATTCCTTATTGCAAGAGCAATAAAATTAGAGAAAAAAAAATCTAATTTAATATCTTCAGCAGAATAATAAAAATTTTATTCAGCTATGTTCTGAAAATTAACACAATTTACCTTGAATAACTGAATCCACCTTTTCTGTTCTGTCTGTATACATTGCTGCATTTCTGTGTTTTTTGTTACTCCAACACTTTGAAATGCTGCAATATATTCCTCACGGACCTCTGGTTTGGTTTCTGGGTAAGCCAACTTTATGATTCCTAGACATGCATCTCGAAGGCAGCGGGAGAGTATTACAAGCTCTTCTAGTGTAAAAGGCATCATTGATGATTGTCTTTGACCTACAACTATATGAAACACAAGCTTAAGTTTCCTTAAATTACTTTTAAAAACCGTAATTATTTAATTCAACTTTAATATTCACACAAGTAATCTAGAGAAAAGAAACATCACCCAAAAAAAAGAATGAGTAAACATTTAGAAAATAATGAGTAAACATTCAGAAACATCACCCACAAAAAGAATGAGTAAACATATAGAAAGGAGATAAAATCTTGGGATTGTGTGTAGGCACAATTATTTTAATGACAATATCCCCTTGATCTCTTTTGTGATTCCTGCTAAGTTAAATTTATATATTAAACTGCAGGTTCAGTCCAGAAGAATTTTGCTTTCTTCACTAACTCATTAAAAATTATCATGATTAAGAACTTCCATATCAGACCCTGTGTAAAGCTAGGGTTCCCAAGGTGCAGACCATTAATTTTTCTCTCTTTTTTTCTAAGTGCAATCACGATAAAAGAGTCAGCTGACAGCTGAGTGCTCAGGGGACCATCAGCAAGCCAGGCCAGAAGATCCTTCCTCCCACATGTCAGCAAATCATTGCCCAGGGAGCTCTCCAGCCTCACACAAAAACATTCTACAAAGCACTGCCATTTAGTATGCTCAAAACTCACCTTCTATTGGGTCACCAAAGAATTCATTATCATGAATAGAAATAAGTGAGTGACTAAACAAAGAACTGAAAAGGTAGAAGAGAGGGATAATTCGGCTAGAGTCCTCTAAAGACATTGGAGAGCCTCTTGAAATCACTTGAAGGAGTGGCACCATAGACCTTAAAATACAAAAGCAGTGTAAAAGAGAGGATTAATAAAATACTCTATGACAGTACTACCTTCAGCTTTCTTGTAAAAGAATGTGGTAGTAGCTCCAACAGCAATAAAACAATAATGATTTCAGTTAAAGAACTATTATTTCCAATGCTGGAAAATAAGATTACTCTTCACAAGTTCTTGTCACTGGTACCTCAGTGTCCCCATGACAAATTAACTTGGGCATTAACTAATACAGACTGCAGATATTTTGAAGACACAAAGCAAAGAGAATAATTCTCTGCTTGTCAGCACTGAACATATCTGCAGGTCCAGTGCCTCAGCTCCCAAGATGCTTCTGCTGCCATCTATTTCTGGACTAGTCAGAGCAGGTGTGATAAAACTCACACTTAGCATGAACCACCTGGGGCTTCAGTGTTTGTTACACTGATGCTTGTAAGAACTACAAAGTATTCAATTCATTTTAAATAAGTATTTTTTTTTATCCTGTCTGATTTCCAAGATTTTGCTCAGTTTTATGAAATCACAGGAGGTAAGTAACCATATCTCTAACTGTCCCTTCCCTTTCAACTAGATAGGCTCTATTTTAACAAAGAATCAGAAATGGCACAATACATACCCTGTAATCATCCGTGTAGTCATTGAAGATATCAAATACCAAAGATGCCTCAGGAATCTGGCATTAAAGGCTAAACTATAAAGGAGCCTGCAAGAAGAAGTTAAATTAATTGGGTCTTCCAAATTACTCTAAATTCACAAAACACAATGTTTCTGTAAGAACTTTTCAGTCAAGAATTTCTGAGAAATTAACAATTTAAATTTAGTTTTTCCAAATGGAAGGTTTTGTTCTGATCAACTGTGGTGAAAGTCACAAAAACTGACAACCGAGCATATAAAAACCTTATACCAAAATTAAGAACTTTCATTATCTCAGCAACAAACCATACAATATAAATAACTTTCATTAAACCCACATTTCCAGTCTTTCACTTAATTCAACAAATATTAATAAAAACAACATAACACTGAATTAATTATCTGATACCTTTTTAATTCTAATATAGAAAATAACACCAAACTAGTTAATAGGTCACTTCTGTGGTTCCTCTGACAGAAAAAAACATAGTAATTTTTTGCAAAAGGTAGACTAAAATACCTGAATTTATGTCAGAACTATAGCAATTTTACTGATCTATTCAGCTTGGCAGAGAGAAATAGAACATCAATGGAACAATGTCAGGACTGCTACATGTACACTAACCCATCTGCAGACAGAAAATCGTTTATTGTTTGAAAATTTCTTACTAATTTGTATTAAGTAAATGTGTAACTCCACAAGTCAGTTATACACAGGACTGACTTTAACCACATTACTTCAGACATGATCACAGTATCAAAACCTTTTTGTAGAAATGAGAAATAAAAAGCTTCTGGAAACTAAAAAGTCATCCCTAGCATATCTTCTTCCCCTTGTAGGAAGCAACACATGAGACAAAATCATTTGAAACAATGTCTTCTAGAAACCAAACCAGATTTCACTGACTAAACAGTAATTTTTTTTCAGGTATCAAAGAACATTATTCAGCTAATTTTTCTAGATGCTACTTTCCTAGGTCTCCTAATTAGTATGAGGAAGTAAAGCAAATCCTGAGATAACATCTCTCAGTGGCCAAGAGTTTTGCAACATCAAAATTCTCTGTGAACAGGCATACAAGAGATAGGAGGCTGGGAAATGGGGGCAGGGAGGGGAGACTACCTCCTGCCAGAAAACGAAGTATTTATTGTGGACCACGTGGAAATTAAAATTTACCAGATGGCAAAAGGAAAAAAAAGCACACATTTCATTAAAGAAAAAAAGTAAAGTATCAATAAAGGCTTAAAAACATTGGAGAATAGTTTAGCTCCCACACAAGAACACCTACACACCCTCTCACAAATGCTCCTGGGTCCTGGCTGGCTGCTCCTCCTGCTTCTTCCCAGCAGCACAGCCTCAATGCTGAGCCCTCAGCTGGTCCCTTCCTCGGCTCCCAGCTCACCTGCACACAAGGATCTGTGCTGGGATAAAGCAGCGAGAGGCAGGCACAACTCCTCACTGAGCAAAAAGGATCGTTTCACAGGGAGTTTTGGAAACAGACTAGGGCCATGCAGAAAAATGGGAAATGAAACAAGCGGCCTTGAGTTTGCAGTGTGGCTCTTTGAATTTTAAATGCAAAGATCACTACATTTAAAAAGAGTTGGGAGCTTCACTTATTTCAAAGAAATTGCACATTGGGAACATTACCAAGCCCAAGTTAAATTTGAAGCAACTAATGCCAGTTTAAGATAAGCTTTGCTGTTACATTAAATTATATTTTAACTATGTGGGTTTTTTAAAAAAAATTCAACCTGAATTTGATACACGAGAATTCTATTCTCTTCTAAAGTCACATTATTTTGACATTTGGTGAAAATTATGCATTAACATGTAAGGACAGCCTTATCATGCCTAGATAATTTAGAATAAGGATTTGTATTTTAATGTTTAAATATCTGAATGATAGCTCAGATGTCTTGGTTTCCGAAATGAGAAACTTCCTCAGTGACCTTCAGTTTTCAGCCTCATATTTAAAATTAAATGTAATTTGGCACCTTGCCTTCAGGTCCCACACAGCTTCCAATGAAAAAGTTGTTAATTTCACAATCATCCCTGGAAATTATGTAACAGTTTGAGCAGAAATGAACAAACATTATGGACAATGAACCTATCATAATGTAATTCATTTTTTCATTCTAGCAATATTAGGCAGTAATGAAGGGGAAAGAAGGACAAACCTTAATAGCTTACAATAATAACCTTTGCCTAAGTTCTAGCCATTTTTATTTCATATCCGTGATTCAGGCAGTCAATTGTAGCAACTGCTCTGTTTCATGGCTCAGTTCCAAAAATGCTGAATTAATTCAACTTTCACACTTCCCTTTCCTGAAAATCTGGTTAAGCACAAAAATGCACATTAGGTAGAAGAGCACCAACAGCCTGTTTCATTGACATGAAATAACTGCAAATATGAAGCAAATTAATTCATCTGTTCTAAAACTTCCATTCTAAAGTTTCTGTGCTGTGACCAGAAAACAACAAACTGAACACAGAATGGGGAATTGGGCCATGTGTTAAAAGAGATTTGCATTGCTAGATTCACCTGAAATTTAATCCATTACAAAAGTAAAGATGGCACAAAAAACCAGCTACTTTCTCACTCCACGTACAGAAATTGGCTTTCAAAGTCGAAAATGACAACTGTAATCAAAAAATACAAAACTGAAACCTACCACAAAATGCAAGCATGACTTTAGAAAGTTGTAGCTGCACAGAATCAGCTGTAATAAAGTTTCAAAATTTTTGGTTTCACACTGACAAAAAAAAAAAGCACTGAAAAGCAAAAAACAACTAAGTAAAAAAAAACAACAACCTTGGAGAAGCAAAATAGGTCCATATCTACCTTATTTAATCTTTTTCCTTAGCAGATAAAAGATGTTCATCTGGTTAAAAACAGCCTTTGTAGACAGAGCTACATTAAAATGACAGAGCAAAAATTCCTGATAAACTGCAAAAGAATACAGGGATGGTTTATACATCCTGAGGAAAAAGCCTTATGAATCCACAAAGTTTAGATATCAGCTAATATAATGCTTGATCAATTTTTCAAGAGGAAAAAAAAATTCAAAACACAAAAAGAACTAGAAATAAAAAAGATTACAGACATTTTGATTTTTATGTAAACCTCTAAAATTTAACTCAGGAGTTTCATTTTTAATATTTGCATCATTCTAAAAAAAACTCCAAACAACTAAAGCTTAAATTCCTCATATCTGGAGGTTTTGCATTTTCTTGAAAATCTCACTGAATGCCACCAACTTCTTTATTATGAGACCATTATACAAGTTTTATGTAATGGGATTCATTAATAGATTTTCTGTAAAGTCCAATATTAAGATTTAGCACAGTTATTTGGAAGAAAGAAACATTTCTCTGCTACCAGAAAGGATAAACTCTTTTCAAGCGGAAAAACACACACTGCCTGAACCTCAGGCTGTAATAGAGTTAAATTCACTTAGTGATTCCTGTTAAGTATCAATTTTAATCATACCAAATTAAATTATCTGTTCCCAAAAGTAAGTACATAACGATCATTTATTTAGAACCTTGTTTCTCTCTCTAGGTATCTAATTGTCCACAAAGGCCACATGATTTATGTCTACTTGCCAGATTAGCATTTCGGGCACCTCTGGTTTAAAAAAAAGTGTCAAATTCCTCCTGTGCAGTGGGACAGATTAAATGACCCATTAAGCTTAATTTAGCTGAGGCACCACTACAAGTTAATTAGTTAAAGGCAAGATTTTCAGTCTAGGTCATAAATTGGGCTCAGTTTCCCACTGAGACCATTTAAGTTAATGAAGAGAATACAGCAGAATGAGAGGAGCTCACACAGCCCACGACAGGTCACTGCTGCTGGGGCAGCAGATTCTGTCACTGTTCAACTGTGAGGTGTCACAGGTATGAGACAGCAGCACAGCCACTGGTAAATGAACTGTCCTGATCTTTAGGCTGCTCTTCCACCTCTGTTTGTACTGGACCACAAACATAAAGCAATGCTTAAAAAAAGAAGATTAAAACTGCATACGCAATGATTTTGGCATTCAGAAAAACACAGCAGTGTCAGAAGGCTGCCTAAGGAATGACCCCAACAGCCCCTGGTAAAACCTGGCTAGCTCAGCACACATATGAAGACAAACTGCTCAGATCACACCAGAGTGGCATTTGCCAAATGTGCTGAACCACAGGCTAAGATGAGCAGTTTCAGTCATGGAGCAGCAGTGAGGAACAGGGACTGTGGAGCTGTTAGTGAGAGAACTCGTCAGACACTGATGGTGACTGACATCCCAGCACCAACACAGCTTCCACCACCATTCAGCTGAAATAAAGATGAAGGCTAAGGTATTAAATTACACCCCAAAATATCTTATAGAAACAGAACATACTTATTTAAAGTATCTGTTTGATGAAAAAAGTCTTGCAAGTCTCTCTATAAGAACTACTGTCCAAGACACAAGTTTTCTCTTTTTTTTTTTAGTAACTGTATCCAATAATATGTATCAACTTCATAATGAAAAGATTAAAAGCCACATCCTTTTGAAAACAAGCAGAACTCCCAATGGTTCCTTTATAATCAGGATTTTATTTTACACCTCTAATCCAGGTTACTGAACACAGGGTACAGGTTTTTTTTTATTTTGTATTTGTATTTTTTTACAGGTTCTTCTTGTATTGTGACCTTTTTTTAATTTTGCTTGATTGCATATTTCCAGAATTATTTCAGAGTTCATCAAAATTCTTAATAACTAACCCAGAGCAATGTGTGTTTTCAGTTATCCACCTCTGAAAATTGAGATCTCTACACAGACCTAGATCTATAGATCTAGATCTCTGTCCAGAACATCAGAAAATAATTTTACACGTTTGCTCCTTTCAAAACTACATTATATTTGTGGGCATCTTGTTTAGATCTTGGTCTCTCTTAAAAAACCAAGGAAAATACTGAGTTGATTCAGCAACACCAATGTTCCTAACACCACACAATATCAGCATCATCAGCCAAATTATAAAGGTACTGAGAAGCCTCAAAAAAAAAGCATTCAGCTTTAACAGAGTAACACAAGTCTATATTCTGAAATCCTCATCTTTGTCCAAGAAGGAAAAAAAACTCAGAACTATAAAAACAATACTGAGATATTTGTTATTTTCTCCCTTCTAAAGCCTGTGTTGATCTTAGCCCAATCATCTTGATATTGAAAAATTATTTTCAATCTTTACTGTATTTATCATCCAATTTTCCAGATTTGAAGCTTCTGTTTTTATCATTATTTTATATCACATATGTATATGCTATTAAACAAATGAAGTCTTTTTAACAACTCCTATTTTAAACCATTTGACCCAGTATGATTTCAAACATGAAACACAAGAGCACTATTAAGCTCTTAGACTAGATTAAAAACAATTTGAGATAAATTATTTTTGCATAAGTATTTCAACATGGTTTTATTAAGTAGATATACTTCACTCTGGATATTAAGTAATTTAAAAATTTCAAAGTAAGTGCAGCATCTTTCAAAATACTATCATTAAATTTGATAAAATTATTTGGACATTTAAAAAAATCACCAGACAAATAAAAAAAGTGAAACTTAATGACAAAATGTATTTTAATTATCTTTTTAAATTCCACAAATAAGCATCATCTGTCCTTCAAAAACCACTCAAAAATTATGTTTAGAATAGCTGCTTGGTAAACTAGGCCAGGTCTAAAATGCACTGAGAATGGGACAAAAGACTGACAGTTGCTGAAATGATAATCCCTGACAAACTTAGCACTTACAGCTGACTCCTAAGTCAAAACTAGTAATTAAATGTTTACTTTAATTTACCAAATATCTATGTAAATCAACTTCATTTTGACAACAAAAGTAATTGTGCTGGTATCATTGACAGAAATCTTAGTATCTACTACTCATTTCTAAAATTCAACTATTCAAAAGTCATGATTTGTGAATTATTTTCTACTAGAAGATGCTGAGTAGAACTTTCATAACGCCTGAATTTATCCAATGTGTAAATAGCTTATTATCACAAATAATTGCAAAGACCCAACACAGCTTCTGAGAGGAAATAGATGCCATACTCATACAATTAAAGTTCAGTGACTTCTTTATTCATTAAACACCCTTTTCCACACAGTTCACCAGCAAGCCTCCAGTCAAAGCAGTGATGCATTCAAGCTCAGTAATTACTATCCAAGGCAATGTACTACTTGCAACAATAAAGCTGGCACACTAATTCAACTGCTGCTATGATCTTCAGGTCTCACATCCTGCTCTAATGCAATTAGTCTACAAAGAACTAATTACCCTAATCGAGCAATCACAGTTTCACTGACATCTTACTTCCTCTAGAAGCTATAAACACCATTGGGCTAAGATAGCACCTAATTAGTTTTCTGTATCACTGTTTACAATGCAGTTTGAATTATGTTTACAACATTCCCTGAATACTTACTTTACTACCAGCAACTACATAGGTACTCAAAACTACTTGCACCAGAACAGTGTTAATACTTATGGGTCTCAGTCTGATAATAAAAAGGTCAAAAATCTTCTCCCATTGTTCTAACATTTGTGGTTTGCAATCTTTGTAAAAGAATACCGTGCAAAGGAACATGTCCTTTATTTTCATCTCGGGTGCCAAACCCTCCCAAAACAGCAGTGATTTTCAATAGTTAGGAATTATTTTAATTTGTAGCAAGAGATTTTGGCATATACTAAAGAAGGGTGTGAACGAGTTGGTTTCAGTGCTCAGCTAGCCAGAGAGACTGGGGAATTCAGAGCACTGAATGTTTTAAAAACAAGGGAGTCCAATTTCTACTAGAATGATACTCACACTGCCTAGGAACATGGGAACAGATAAAATGCTCAGAAGAATCTTGAGAGGGCATAGTGAATAGCAAGAAAAGTAAGAAACAATCCACTCTTTGGTTTGCCTGGAATTACTCTTAAATTCTGAAATTCTAATTTAATTCAGCTAGTTGTACAAGACAACACATAAAAACTACACATAGAATTTAAAACAAGTCTATCTAAGACAATTAATTTCAGATATACTACAGGTCAAGATGACTATTATATCCACTTGCCTGACTTTTGGCACCATCATTCGGTGTTGTACCATTAGTGTGTGGCAAATTGATGCCATCAGGGTAAAGACCTCTTCACTGGCTGAATCTCTCCAAACCATGCTTAGTAGAGTGTTTGTCTGCTGTTTTGTGTCCAATTTCTTGAGGCACTCCTCAGTTATGTACTGGACTGATATTCTCCCATCACCCTACAAACACATCAAAGGAAAGTTTACTTTTAATTCTTTTTAATGGTATCTCCTTTTCAATTAAAAAATACCTCCAAATGTAACTAGAATGAAGTTTTCTTGTACAATAAATAAAGCAGAAGCACATATGTATATCCAAATTTTTTAAATATCAGGTCCAAGAGCCAACTTAAAGCCCCAGGCAGGTAAGTGTTGAGCTTTGAAGAGCATCCTTCACTGAGGCCAGTGGAAATACTGCCTTTACTACAAGTATGCTCTGTAACACTTGCATACAATTAGACAAAATCTCTAACTGGCATGAAAAGTGAATAGTCATTTCTTCTCTGCTGACATCAGTCAGCACTGGACATGAAACCCAGAAATGGACCTTGACTTTAAATTCCTTTATAAGTACTATTTTCACATTTACAATTCTTGGGTTAACAAATGACAACAAACTTCAGGGTGGTCAGTACATGTCTGAGTAGTACCAGCAGTGTGTGAAGAGGAATGCATTCTCTTGGCATGCAACTGAGTCCACCTTAACCTTTTCCTAATTTCCTGTCTTTATCTTGCCCCCAACTGAGCAAAGCTGTAAGGCTCATTGAAGGACAAGTTAACCAGTTATAAATTTTAAGAAAGTGGGTTCCCCACCCACTCACCTTTTTTTTCCAATGGTAAGACAGGCATGCATTAAAATACAGAATAGGTACAAAAAAAAATCACAGGAGAAACACACAAAAAACCATATTGCAATAAGGAATATTATTTATATAAAGTCTCCTCAGAGCAGTTTTTTCTTAATTTATGAATTACTGTAAATTATCTGTGAACAGAAATTACTGCTTTGTTTTGACCTAATCACCTCCTAAGTATTACCGATCTCTAAGCCACAAGTAGAATCTGCCAATATTTATATTGCACACAGCGTGTGTGTCTGGCAAAGAAAGTATTTTATTCACACTACACTGGTAAAGATGTTGGTGTGACAGTAGCATGCAGCATCTAAAAACACTCAAGTAAAATGCTGCAATTAGTCTCTGGCAGCATGGTTCTTCCTAAGTTTTTTTTAATAGACTTTAAATATGGTGAAATTTCTCACTTTCCAGAAGAAAAACATGCACACTATGTCCTTTGAATAGCTGTGTCTTCTGAAAGATTACATAAAGGCCAGTAATAAACTGCTGAATTTACATCTGTCCAACTTTGGTTAGTCCAAGCCTTGATATGAGTAGTAGGAGGCTAAAGTCAGCACAGATTTATTCTATTTGTAAGTTTAAAATATAGTGAAGAAGTTCTATGTATAACAGTGTCTCTATGTATTATTACAGAAAGCAGGTGTTGGATTCTATTTGTAAGTTTAAAATATAGTGAAGAAGTTCTATGTATAACAGTGTCTCTATGTATTATTACAGAAAGCAGGTGTTGGTTTCCCTTTTGAGGGCTTTTGAGTTAGTGGGTATACAACTGACCTATTCTACAGCATAAAGACTGTAGTTATTTCTACTAGAAATGCATTTCTCTGAGGAAAAAAAAAATGAAAACACTAAGTTGGAGTATCAGTGTATTTAATGATATCTCAGCATCATTGTGGACCTACAGAATACAGAGAGTAAGAAAATCTCTGTAAAATACAAATGTAAAAAGGCAATTTTAAGCCTTTTTTAAATAAAAGCTTTGTACTTTCACAGACACGTTATCAATAGTTTTGGATCTATTGTTACAGTAAGGAGTTTGCTTTAATGTAAGCAATCAGTTCCATTTACTTGCAGGGAACAGTCATCAATTTTTAAGAAGCAAACAGGCTCCCTTCTACACCTATAGAAAAATACTAGACTTAGAGTGATCATGTTTTTGCCTATGTTTGCTGCTGCTGCAGTACAAATCCATTCACAGGAATTCTGCACTGCTTACTGGTGTAGTTGTCATTTTACTGATCTCCTCATCCTCATCTTCAGAATCACTGTTTTCATCTTGACACTTTGTACCAGCAGCAGACACAGGCAGCTGAGAGAGAAAAGTCTGGAGTACCCTCAAATACACAAGAAGTCCTTCCTCTGAAAGGGATCCTAGAGCACATACATAGAAACAAAACATCATCAGCGAGATCATAATGTGCTATAAAAAATATTTTACCAGAAATACCTGACCAAAACAAGTTATACCAAATCTTACCAAATTATTGCATTTTTATAATGAAAAGGGTAAGAATAGGTAACGGAACAGATCTCTCCAACACTTTTATCCACAAACTGTCCTTTTTACTTGGCAATGAACCAAGCTGAGGAAATACGTAACATATTAATTCTAACATGAAGAAACCAATGAATTGTCCACTCAGCTTGCTCACCCAAATATGTTTTTCCAACTGTTAACACAAAGTAGAAGAGCCATGGGGCTTGATCACTTCTTCTTGAACATCCACTTTCTGCTAATAATAGTGCATTCAGAAAGAGTTCATAAGGGAAAATGGTCTGCACATCAGCAAGCGCTGGAATGATGAAATGGAATATCTGATCTGTAAAAGGTGCTGCCAGAAACTCCTCTGTGAAGGCTGCAAAAATCTGCTGCCTGAAAGGAAGAAAAATTGTTGCTATAGAAAATACAGGCAAAATTTCCCACTATTATATCAATGGAATAATAGATCATTTTGCAAGTAAGAACACATCCATCAAGAGGACTTCAAAGATGTGCTCCATTAATTCCATCCTAGCGCATCAGATTTCTCAAAAATTAACTTATTATACTAAATCCTCTTCCTAATGATCTTACATGCAATTTTATCCTTTAAACTTTTCATGAACTGGAAGAAAACTATTCTGAAATTAAATATATTTTAGTAATATTGAAGGGAAAAGAATACATCTAAAAAACACTTTTTACACAAATTCCTATTGTAACAAAAATACTACTGTATGTGATACAACCTGAATTCACGTTTCCTCTGTTTACATATCTGACTCTGACTCTTGTAAGCTGCCTTAGTAATTTCTCTCCATAAATCTCAGCTCATCTGTCACAAAGTTCTTTTGAACTCTAAAATTCTTTTCATCTACCCTTTGCTGCATCTCTGCTCTCACCTAAATTTTCCACACCCTCATTCCTGTGTACTGATACATGCTATTCTCTGTGCTCTGTTTATTGCAGCATTCAGCATTTTATTGCCTTTTTCTTAAAAACACCTGAAACTACATTGTTTCAGTGATGTACAGTGTTACCAAAAAATCATTACTGTACAAATAAATCAACAAACTGCACTGGAAGAATGACTGGACATTAGACAACAACAAACTGCACCTCTGTCTATAGCAAATGAGTACACAAATGTTTCATATTATCTTTATTTACCTTGCACCTTCTGGACAGGAGCTATATGTAAAGTGCAATGGCTTCAGAACATTCTCCAGAAGTATTTTTGCAATAGGGACACGAGAAACATCAGAATACTCAATACTCGAGGGAAGCTTATTGTTAATTAACAAATAAAGCGACTTGTAGTAACCTGCAAGTAAAAAAAAAATCACTTTTAAACACAGCATTATTTTTCTTCTTTTCCATATAAAACAATACAAATGAAGTTGAAAAATACTGTCTAATTCATTACATGAAGCTTGACTTAGGAAGACATTTTACAATAGTCCAAGTCACATTCACATAATTAATAGATCATATCAGCAATCTCTTTGGAAACATCACAGTATAAAATCATTCATAGATAACCATAGTCGGAGTCAGTTTGATTTTGAAAGATCAATCAGCTCTTGCTGATGAAGCAAATACTTTGATTTTTAAAAGAATGATTTCTGACAAAGATGTTCTCTTCTCCTTTGAGTGACTCTAGTCATGTTGTCCTTTCACTCTTCCAGAAATGAAGAATTTTCTACTCTTTTCCAAAATATGACTGCATCATACAGGCAAGAGGCCTGCTAGCAGAATGTCCCAATTCTGTGAGCACCTTGCCTTAGCAGGCTGAAGAATACAATCACTATTTCCAGAGCAGGGCTCCCTCAGACAGTAATAAAATGCATTATCACCCACGCCATAAAGACATGTATAGAGAGTAATTTATTTTTGTCTCACTGAAGTACAAACGGAACCACGTGATTTCATTCTTCTTAAACCAACTTCCTTCATGCTCAATGAACTCCCAAAGTAAGACACAAGTTCCACAATTACAGGAACACTGTAAATGCATAAACAGTGTCACATCACTGAGAGCCCTGTCTAAGAACCCTTCTCAGGGACCACCTAACTTGTCACAGTGGAAGGCCCCATAAATGAATGACTTTGCAATGCTCACCATACACACATGGAAAGCAAATTATATCCAAAAGCATACACTAATGAAAACTGGTAACAGATTCTTTACAAGTTAAGCATCAAAACTTATAAGGAGATAGAACATTTGCACTTGCACAAAGCCACTTTTTTTTTTTTCATTGTAAGTAATTAGAAAGCTAAATTTTAGTAAAAAATGTATGATTCTATAATCTCAAACTTTTGTGTATCAGTTGTGAGGACAGAGTATTATACTGAAAATAAATACATGCATATTTATAATATACAAACCAATGTGACAAACCAAGTTTTTGTTATGCCAAGGCAAGTAAAATAAATGTGCTACATTAGGAGTAATTTTTTTCCTCATAGTGACTTCAACGTACAGTCCTTAGGATTAGGTAGTCAAGTCCACTGAATGTACTGTAAATATTATATAGAAATTTCCAATAACCAATGATTAGATGATGATCTTTCTGCATTTTACACCAAAGAGGCTGGATCCAAGAGAATTCTTCCAAAATGTTTTTGTCTTTCCTCATGATCCACAAGTTTTTCAAACTCAAGCCACCATATGAAAAAGGCTAAATAATTTATTTTGGACATTCCCAGAGTAATAAAGTTTCTTTGCAACTAATTATTTTGGTGCTAACTATCCAATTCATTAACTTTTGGTATGTTTGCACAGGTGTCACTGACTGCAGTTTAGCAAATGGTTTTGCTGATGATGGTAGGAGAGAAATAAAAGCCAGGCTACCATCTCTGCTAAGGTGTCTGAGTGCTGGCAGGATGAAAAGCCAGTGCCAGCCTAGAATAATAATGAATATTAACATTTACAGAGAACAGTACTGCAATAAAATGACCAACTTTTACACAACTGAAGTTTAGATCTGCCACAGTGTGTGTCCACATGAGAGTGTTAAACATCAACTGGAATAAAACTTTTGTTAGGCAATATCCACCTACTCTCAAAAGCTGTGCTACAGCTCTGTATAAATAACTTAGTAGAATATTAAATTTATAAAGAGAATTTCCAAAAAAATCAAGCAGCTATTTCTCAAGCCATGACCTCATTACAAGGACAATATCCACCTAATGCACAGGTTAGTGTATGTAGCTGTGGTAAAGACAAAAATTTGATTAAGCAATGTGGGCTTCAGGTGTTCAATTTTTGATTATTTCCCAGAACTGCTGGTTCCTAGCTACTCACCTTTTTGAACCATGTAGTGCAAAATTTGTTCAATTAATGATGTCACAAAGCTGACATCTTGTAAAACAGGCAAATACGTATTCTCAGATGAAAATACCTCAAGCATTCTCATAGGAAGTGCAACATTCAGACTGTCATCATTGCAATTCTGCAGTAGCCTATAAATGAAATTAAAATTATTTAACAAGAGATTTCTCGTATTTCTTCACACATTCATCTTAAAGTAACTTATTTCTATCTACTTGGTTTCCAGGTGCTCTCAGCGGTTCAGCTACATCTTTTTGATGGCATCTTTATAATAATAACTCCTGATTTTAGGGTATCTACGAACATAACATTCTACTTTTAAATCCTACTAAATTCTTGCTCTGAGTGATTTGAAAATTTGGAGGTCTACTGCATAAACTGGAAGAGAAGCAAAGAATAATACATGTTTTACCAACATGTACCACTAAACATATTAAAAATGAAGCCATGAAAGTCCCAGAGCAACATGAGATGGGAACAGGTGTTAGGGAACATCACGTGCATAACTAACACAATATGTCTTTGATTACAAACTCAAATATTAAAAATACAACCATTCCCACCCTTTTAACAGCTTGCATATGTTATGTAACAGCTACCAGTAACCACAGAACTTATGATGATTAAGAGCCTATTTAGAATTCAAAGTATTTTTTATTGCGAGATGTGTACGGATTGACTTGTCCTAACAATGTGCTTTCTTCCCTATCCATATTAAGAACTGCATTTACAAAAACAAAATTTCCACTGTAGTGAAAATGTACGATTCCATGCAGCAATACCACATCTGTGTCCCACTGCACATGGACTTTAAAGGCCAGCACCCAAGTCTTCTTTAGAATCTGGTGTCACTGTTTATCATACATACACTCTACACGCTTATAAGAACATAAGCTTTAGTGACTTAAATGAAACACTTTTCTAAAAAACAAGTATTTTAAAGCTCTGCAGAGTGTAACTAGTCCCTATTATTGATAAGAACAAATATGTTGTTTTCTAATAATAGAATAACAATAGCTGCCCGATATTCAGGTCACCTTAACAGATTTACTTTCCTGTGACTCTCCCACTACAAATAATAAATGTAATAATGAAGCCAATAATGTAACTGCTCAATATGCCTTCCTCTCAAAATAAAGTGTGAGGAAAGCCATATACAAGTAAGAACACACTCAGGCTTATCCTACAAGAGCATCCCTTAAGCACATGTTGAACTTGAAAGTCAACAGAACTTAAGAGCATTTGACTGTTCTACATGGGAACAGGTATCCTATATCATGGCCAACACATATGTAATATAAACAGTCCTCTACATAAAATTAATGTGCATTTAATACTTCACTTGCTACAAAAAGAAACAAAAAAGTGCCCAACATAATTTCTGAACGTTTTTTATACAGTAACATGTAGAAAAAAAGAAATTACCTGCAACACAGCCCCAACAGTCTTTTTATTTGGAATAAGCAAGTAAGTCTGTCTGGACCATCCAATTGCTTAACAAACTGAGAACTCTGTTTAATTAAATTCTGACACATCCATACCTGCAACAAGATATGGCCAAGTTTACAGTTTATAATGACAAATTCTATCATCTATGACAACTCAGACAGTAATATTTCAGTGCTGTTATGGATACCTTTGGAAGACTTACAAAGCACAAACTCAGACTGAATCATGTTCAGTTGAGAAAAAAAAATTGTTATTCATTATAAACTCCATGACCACTAAGTACTAAACTTTCAAAGTTAAGACTGAGTTACACCATCTGGTAATTTTTTGTTTTTAACAAGCCATAATTCTTCAATGTGCACTATGAATCACACCTTCTCATACATTTGGGAAGCTGGCAGTGACTTTGCAATTGATATGCCAGCAATACTGAACAGTGAGAAAAGAAATACCACCCGAACACCTTGGGAATGACCATGGGGCTAAGCAGAAATACTGTCTAAAAAATAAAATCCTAATAGAAGTATAGTATTTTTAAAAACTTAGTGTGACTAATGCACATTGGTTTTTTCAAGGCTTCATTTGACATTTTCAGTATGTGTGTGGGCACGTGCACTTGTAAAAACTAATGTTAAGTTATTGTGACTAAATGAAAAACAGCAGAGTGCAGTGAAAAGTGCATTCTGAAGTGAAACACTACTTTAAAAGTGCATGAAGTGCAAGTACTACAGATCAAAGTATGTAACAGTACTCACCAAACGCTTTGAATCCTCATTCTGTCTATAGAAAAAGAGTAACTGGCGAACCAGAAGGGTCAAATTCGCTCCATTAGCAGTGGAAAAGGTTCCTCCAGACTGAGCCAAATTAGCACAACGATCAAATTCACTTCTTTGGATAGAGTACTTAAAAACAAAACATGCATCAATACATCAGTAACAGTCATGATTCGAAACAGAGCAAAATTTCAGCTTCCCATCCAGTGAGGTTGCAAAGCAGTAAAACAGATACAACACATGTTTGTTCAGAGATCAAAAAATACACATGGTATCATAACTCCATTCTGTAACTCAAAGCACAGTTGCAACAAATCTGTTGCTTATCAAGCATTATCACATCAAACATTTTAGTCCAGTTTACTCAAATTAACAAATTTAAACAAAACTCTTTCTTAGGAGAATCTATCCAACAGCAATTTAGAACAACTTTTTGACTCAAACTACCACCTTAGCAATACTATAAATACAAAATTAAAAGCTCCACTGGTGTGTGAAAGTTCTTACTACCCTAATGCTTTTTATCAAATTTATCAGCTTAAAAAAAACATTGCAGGATCTCATTCAGATCCAGTCACACTCATGCTTTGTAGACTATATATCTGTTTACTAAAACATTGAGCTTGAAATGAAAATGCTGAGAGTGAAAAAAGAACATCCACTTTCTCAAATACTCAAAATCATTTTTCAATGAAATTATTTATTATAAGTCTCATTTTCAGCAAAATTATTTAGCATCTTTCTAATTAATCAGGTACTGACTTGATGTTTTCTGTCTCTGTACCCTCTTACAAATGACTGGATTATTATTGCATTTTTCAGCCTCCGCCTTTCTTCCTGTAAAACAAAGCAAGAAAACTGAAATCAACACCATAGGACTGACTCTTATTTCTACCATTTTATCAAATGTATTTGTATTTAATATGGGCTTTTAATGAAAATGAAGCAGCAATCATTAGTCAAATAGATTATTTGAATGTATGTACCTAATAGATATAAATCAGTGAGAATGCTTTTTGTTTGTAAATGCAAATTTACCATTAAATATTGCAAATTAATCTTTAATACTCAGTAAGTATGTAATAGTACAGAAATCAACATAAATATTTTATTACTTTGCATCACTTTATTGTTAATGCATTTTATTAGACAAAGTCTTAATGCTATGTTGAAAAATGTTGAAGGATTCATCAAATTCAATTACATAATTCCTCTTTCTGCATACAGCAGCAAAAACTGACAATCCACTTATTTGTTTTCATTCAAATAACAGAAAAGCACAGTTTAGATGTGAGGAAAACAATACAAAAATCAGTTATTTGCAGACAGTACCTCTGTTAAAAGGAAATGAGGCTTAAAGTGCATTGTGGCCCAGAAGCAAAATCTATAAATTAATAAAAATTCTTAGTCTCTTTTCCAAACCAGATATATCTAATGAATCCTTTTATGACATCTTCCTCAGAAAGTGGAAAGAGTAGCAAAAATCATCCCTTTACAATGGCTCAGAGGAACTGAAAGCCAGCTTGCTTGAGATGGTATGGAAAGAGCTTTTGGAGGGGTCCCTGATAACACCCTGAGCATATCCCATTACAATAAATATCTATGGGAAGTAGCTGCTGTAATTATATTTCTAACAATATCCATATGGTGCCTTAGGGAATAAAAGGAGGGAAATAAGGAGTTGCTCATGAACCTAGAGCTACAAAGCACTGGATGAAGGAAAAGTACAAGGATCAAGAAGCCTGCTTTAAAAAGAGAACTTTTAGCCTAATCAATCCTTAAACTATATTGAACCTATAATTCTGAGGGTCACCAGACAAAACAAAGCACCAAAATGTTTTCATATATTTCATTCAAATACTTTTGGAAAGTTCACATAAACTTTCAAGTCCCAAAACCTTGATTTCCAATTTACTGTTCTATAAAGACACATCCAATTTAAAAGCATGACCTGAACTGACCAGAGAGAACACCAGACAAAATTGCTATTCAAGGCCTATTTTATTTTTCTTGGAAAACCCTGGTTCTTAAAGCAACTTATCTGAATAAGCAGATTCTTGAAGACTAACTGCCTCTAAATCATAGACCAAAATCAAAATTTTGATGGACCAAAGGATATTTCTCTCTCCAAAATATTGACAGTAAAAGTGCAATCAGAAGAGAGTTTCAGAGATGCAGTGTCTCTTCATAAACATAATGTAAGGCACAACTAAAACACAGATAACTTTTCTTCCTCTCTAGGTACCGGTTTTATCTCAGGACACATAATTGTCAATTAGAGACTCCTAACTGCAAAGGTTTTAAGTCTAAGGTCACTGCTAAGATTCTGCTACAGGCAGTTTTTAAAAGCCATAGTTGATTTTATTCTCAGAGGAGTCATTCATTTTGTGAAAATGTGCTCCATACCACAGCAAATCACTGTGTGCACATGTGTACCTGCACTGGGATGAGTGTGTGGCTCTACACAAGTTTTGCAAAGAACAGAGACAAGCAACTGAATGGGTTTATGGATCACAAAGAATAATTTTTACATATGTTACTAGGAACTCATTGACCATAAAGCTGATTGATAACATGGAATTCTGAACTAATAGGTGAAATCCTGGTACTTGAACTTAGTCTATAACTACACACCCATGTTGGAGAGGAAAAAAAAGCACTAACTGTCCACAGAAACTGCAGAACTTCAGCTTAATCTAGCATGAGTCAAACACACCTTTAAGGGTCAAAGAGCTGTTTTCTTCATGAGCATGAAACTTGCATAGTTACATTTTTAATCAGTATTTAACACCAGGGGTTTTTTTACTTATATGGGAGAGGTGGGGGAAAAATGACAAAATTAACATAGCGACTCAAATTCCATACTACTAAATTTTGGGTTCTTTATTTCAGTGCCTATTCCTCCTCTGCACTGTTCCAGTCTGAATTTTCCAGAGCAGTAAGCTCCCATCATAAACCAGTATTAAGGTTTCTTAAAGCATCACAACTCAGCTTCTCACTGGTCCTTCATGAGCAGGTGATTTCAAAGCACTTAGGCTTTCTTGAATTCTTTACAAAGAATTCAAGAATCATTGCTCTGATTTTACCTTCACAGAACACAGGTACACACTGGGGAAGTACTAAAGGTCAGCCAAGAAATCATAGCAGAACCAGGAGCAGAAGAAAGTTTGCTGAGCCTAAGACATAGTAATAGATTAAGAATAAGGTAAAATTTGCAATTTACTAGCCAAATCCTTAGCTCTTCTCAAAAAAATACTAGATCAAATAAACACCAAAATAAAAGGGAAGCTTCCCTATGTACCTACTGCATCTTTTATCTTCTTTTGAGATGAAAAGCACTTCTAAGGAACAGCTTAAAGCACTCAAATTATTTTGCCAATTAAAGTATACTTTAAGGCTATACAGAACTTGCAAATTGAATGAAAACATTGCTGAACTAAGTATGACTGCAGCAGAAGTACTTTGCACTGTAAATGTAACACCAAAGGGAAATACAGAGGCCAGGCAAACGCTTACAGGCTACTTTACCTCTCGTTTTCTCCTTTCTTCCTGAGTACGATGAAGGAGAGAAGCCTTTTCTTCCTGTAAGACACAAATAAAGACACTACTGCATTTTCATTCAAAACCACTTCAACTCTGTTCAGGATATTTAATGCAGACCTCACTTCAGGGATTGCTCAAAATGCATAGCACATAAAACACAGAGAAAACTCGATGTTAATAATTTTCTGAACTCACAAATACATGGCATGCAGCCTTCCCAGAAGAACAGAGATGGAGATAAGTTATGACCCTATGAAAAGGGACCAGCAAAGAGCAGCAAACTGTACTGATCCCTGTCCATATTTGTGCTCTCAGCATCCCAATTACCCTGACAAACATATCTCATTTACAAATGACAGAGCTGAAGCACAATAAGGTCCCAGTCCCACCAGATCATACCAGAAGTCTGAGTGTTTTCCTTGCCTGGAGGGTACATAAATCCCTGGCCCAGGTGCACACAGCAAGCTGTGGCACGTTCAGAGCAATCACATCCTGTTCCAAAGCCCCTTGCTTTTGTCTAACTTAAAAAAAGCATGAAGCTCTTGTATTTACTTATCCTTTTCCCCAAAGCTTGCCCAGAAAAGATGTCAAGAGAGACACAGCACAAATGGCAGGAATTTTTTCTTTTAAAATTTTGAACTCTTCACCCAAATTAAAGCTACGTACCAAAACTTTCGGACAGTGATCTCACCAACAGAGAAAAAGACAAGAATACTAAAGCATTCATGAGGCCTCAAAGCCCAATATTATTACAACAGAAAAACCATGCATTTGCTTTTAAACCACAATTTTATACAAGTACTCACTGATTACAATATATAAACAAAGCTTTATTTGCAAGAGTCTCAATGATGGTTCTGGGTAATTTCCAAGGAAATATACAAAATAACTCAATTTTTATGTACCGTATTCAGTTTCCACTGCAGACAACAGGAGATGAAAGCACCCTGGCACCTTCCCAAATCCAGTCTAAAATGCACAGCAAATTTAAGAAAACTATTTTCATTTTTTGACACTACGACACAAATGACAACTTAGTTTTTCTCTGTATGCCCATATTAGCCTAGAGAAGTTAAAAAAACTAAAAAACACTCAAGCTGAAAATGTATTTTCTGTATTTTAATACAGAAAAATCAATTTGAAGTTGGCACACAAATGTTTATAAAATTTTTAAGTACAGCTGAAACAACCATGCTGGAATACTTTTAGTGTCTATCAGTAGATACAAAGCATGACAGCACAACTCTTCAGCATTTCTGTTTTGAAGATACAGAGGAAGGAAAGTCATGATTCTCTCGGTTTCTTTAGGATAGAAAATACTCTAACAGACCGCCAAGAGAGTAAAAAAAAAAAAAAAAAAAAAAAAACCACAAAAAAAAAAAAAAAAAAAAAAAAAAAAAAGCCCACAAGAAGGTTAACCATCTTTCCTCTAAAGACAGCATTTATGGCCAAAGACACCACTAACTACAGCTATTGCCCGCTAAAGACAGGGTTTGCTCCATGTGTTAAACACAGGACAAACAAAGTAAGGAAATCCATACATAAGGATGATGTATCTCCACTCAAGCAGTACAGAAAGGCAAACACAAAGACAAAACAAGATACTAAATTAATAATCAAGAAATGGCTTAAAGTTTCAGGACTTTTTCAACAGTTGATATCTGATGCATTAAAGAAGTTGGTGAAATGTCCCAGATTAGAAAGGACTGTGCTGCAGAAAGCACAATGTAAAGTGCATTTCTGCTTAGAAACAATGTTTTGTCATTTGTCCTTACACTTCAGAGATAACTGAAAGAAAAAGCAGAACAAAATACAGGAAAACAAATTGCTTTGTGTGAATAGAGAAGAGAATGGAATGAAAAAACACAAGCAAACACAGAAAATACAAATTATTAGTAAATAAAGGGAAATAAGTGGCCAAAGGGTTTATCAGAAATAAACAAGTTTAAATCATTTGAAGAGGGAGATAGAAAAGGGCAGTGCACCCTTAGTGTATCACCAGCTTTCCACTGATGAAGACCTGAGCCACTTTGTAGCAATCAGTCTTTAATACAATCCACTCTCAAACTAACAAAAGTTTCCAGTCAACCACATACTTGCTTTGAGTACTTGCAAAGAAAAATGCCAACTTGTTAGAGTATAAATTAAAAGAACTGTCCTAAGACAATAAAATATTCAGAGATAAGTACATGCCACCTTTAATGAATTACCATGGGTAAAATAATACTGTTACTCATGTTCACAAGATATACACAGATCATAACTATGACTAAAGAATACATTTAAATTAAAGTCAAGAAAAATATACCCCCTTAAAGAGTTATTAAACCAAGCTGGAATACACTGTCTCTTCAGAAATTAAAAAGTAACCATGCATGCGCAAAGTAAAATAAACCTGCAGTGGGAAAGAGATGAAAAGAAACATGAAATAATCTTCTTCCAATACAAAGGGCATTCTATCAAAATTACTTCTTAAAGGGAGTCACCTCTGAAATCCTCCCTGAACTGGCCCTTGACAACCAGCACTGTGAAAAGGAGCCGAACTCGGTAGCGGCTGTTCCGTGGCTAGTTGTGAACGACAACAGCGCTCCTCAAGTGACACCCGTGTGACAACTCCCACCAGAGCCTCCCTCCGCAGTGCTGCCAGCGACAGCCGCAGTTCCACAGCTCTCCTGCTGCCCACAGCCAGGGCTGCTCACAGCAGGCCATGGCCCGACAGGAACTGCCAAACCTGGCTCGCTCCCACTCCCCACCCTGCCCTGATCCTGGGCTGCTCACGCCATCATCGCCTTTCTTCACCTGCCACAAGGGCACACGTCAGGTGTCGAGTCTTTCTTCCAAGGTAGGCAGGCAGACAAGGTAGGGAGAATGAAGCATGAGCTTGTCCTGACTCTGTCACCTCTAATTCAAAAGGAGTGAAAAGCCATTCCCTCAGTCACAGTCCTGACTTTTTATGATGTGGTCTTTTTCCTTCAGGCCTTGCCCTCCCAAATGCAGAACAAGGAATACACCGACCGTGAGTTTCCATGCAACGTAGGACACGTGGCCGTGTCCTGCCTGATGCACTCTCCAACTGAGAAAAGACAACCAACCTCCTGCTCTAGCATTTGAGCTGCAGCACCATGAAAAACCCCATTTCAGAAGTTTTCTGTGGGGCATGGCACAAAGAAACAAGAAATGTTTCTGTGTATGTGACAGCAAAACACAGAGTGACATTACAGAAATGACTCTGAGGGTAAGAGAGGAGGGAAGAGGTTAAAACAGAAGCAGAGGGAGGACAGTACACAGAAAGGAAAATGTGTGACTGCCATCAAAGAAATGCTGAGTAATATATGAAATGTTAATTTGTACACGGGGATAAAGTACACTTCCATGTACTGTGCTATTCACCACAGCAAAGTTCCTGGTGGCAGAACTGCTCTGAGGCAGCAGCTGTGAGCAGCCACATCTGACAGTGGAACGATGTCAACGCCAGTGCTTCACAACCAGCAGTTCAATCCATAATGAACAAAGACTGTTCAATTAAAGTTGTTTTCTTATCCTTGTTTTGCTGAAATACAATTTTTGGTTGCAGAAGTATGTTTGCAGAACTCCCAGCTTTCATGTATCCTAGCCAAAGACTGAATAAGGTACACAAATATAGAAACTATTACTCTTTTCCTTCTGCATTTGAACACTTTGTCTTGAGAGAAATAAACTTTCAGCCCTCTTGGCTCAAAATCCAGATTCAGAAAAACAAAATGTATACATAATTAAATCCTCCTCAACACTTCTAATATTTGCTGTCTTGTAAAATCTGAAATTGAACACTCTTGGACAGCTATTTACTTGCTATCTTATAGCAAATAAATTTAAAACTTAAACATACCCAGATGTAAAGATGAAACTAAAAAATTACTTTCAGGTACCAGCTAAACACAGATTTTTTTTTAAAAATTAATAATAACACACTGAAGCAAAAATTTAGTATTATTAAAGCTTGATGCTTCTTTATAAATGAAGAGGGTTTATTTTGGTTAGTAGCTGAGAATGCTTTGCACTTCACATTTCAAGAGGTCATGCAAAGTACAAGGCATGACTTTTTATGAAATTTTCTTTAAGAAACAAACACTTGAACTTTTTTAATTTTTGTTGACAATTATAAAAACTTGTGTGGTTTTTATCTACAAAATCCAGGAACTTGAATCTTTTTTCCTTTCCCTAAAATGAGGAGCATGACTTTACAGCTGAATTTAACTTGAACCACATAAAAATCAGTAACAACTCCCAAAACAATTGAAGTGACCTAAGCAATTTATAGAATAAAATTCCTCTCAACACAAGTATTCAGTAACTCCTGCCAATAAATGGAAAATTTTTTAACATTTGTTTTTACAGAATAAATGTGGCCACTGGGAAATATCCCCTACCTTCTCAAAAATGTTTCTATCTCCTGACATTATTTTAGACCAGATGAACTCCAAGTGGGTTTTTTGATCTGAATAGTAAAAGAAATTTGCATTTTAAAATGCTTACAACAATACCTTGAACTGGACCTCAACAATTTAAATTCCATTGAACATGTCTGAGTACGTTCAGCAGCCTGAAATATTCTGCTTTTAAGCAGTTTGTGATTCGAATTCTTAATAATGACGTAAATAATCAGCTAAGTTTATATGTAGAGCAGACAATCTTGCAGAAGGAAAGGAGCTGAACCATGCCCAGGAGAGGCATCTAGCCCTGCAAAGCCTGGCCTCACTGCAGTCAGTGTCACAGTGCTTGCCAGAACACACCTCAGCATTTCAGCTGAAATTCACCCTGGGATGTAGGGAGCACCTGGAACCTCTCCTATCATGTGGCACCCACAAAACCACACATGGGGGAACCAGAATTTGCTTGGAGACTCTAAAGGCCAACTGAAAAGCAAGAAAGCTGCTTTTACATTTATGCTCAGTCTGTCCCTATTATGACTTCTAAGATGTGTACTGTACACAGAGCTGTGAGTGATTTCTAGTGGAAGGTGTCCCTGCCCAAGGCAAGGGGGTTGGAACGGGGTAATG